AACAGAAACAGAAAGCACAACCACTGGCTCAATTGTGATTGTGTAATGGTGTGACGTTTAGCACTATGTACCACTCATATTGCAAGACACTGCTCATTTATCAAGTCAAAATTTAGTAGAAGTGCTTTGTTTGTCTTGCAGAGCACTTGCGGAATCAGTTACAATTCAAGGTTTTACTGGACATTGTTTTGAATGATAGCTTACATTTTTCTTAAATGAGTAAACTACATTGTAGCTATTTGATTATGTTATCAAAGTCTATGTAATTTGCAACTCAGTTCCTATTAAGCTTCTGCTTTAAAGCAAAATGAGGACTGGAATATAATTTCCTATTTGATAGTTAATTTGGAATATCTGTGTTATCAATTAGTCACTAAACTCTTTTCTTTTTCCCTCAATAAATGGCAGTTATTTAAATAGTCCACTTGCATCGACATTCCTTTTTCTGAGTTGGCATTCATCATGTGAACTTTTTAATTTTTTTATTAGCACACGTTTGCAGTACATAGTGATTACATTCCTTATGGGGATTGGTCCATGTACATAATACATCTTAAGTTTTTCATCCTTTCTCACCTGTTGGTTCCATTCTCATTTGATGAAGATCTGTTTCCTAATATGTGTCTCTTATTTTGTTCTTTACTTGTATTTTGGGTTTCTTATATAAGAGAGACCATCTACTCTTTAAGTTTGTGTGTCTGATTATTTCATTTAACATTATGGTCTAAGGTACATGCATTTTTCTACAAATGACTCAAGCTTATCCTTCTTTATGACAGGGTAGCATTCCACTGTGTGTAAATACCACATTTTCTTTATCTATTACTCTTTGGATGGACATACATGCTGCTTCCAAGATTTAGCTATTATGAACTGTGCTACTATAAACACAGGTATGCATATATATCGCTATAATATGATATCAAATGTTTTTAGACATAAAAGTATGTGAAAGAGTAAGGAAAACTTTAGGGCTATGTTTTATAGTATTAGATTGATGGGTACATATGTAAAGAGAAGTAACAGCCTTCCTGATAATAGTTCAATATACAGAGTACTCATGTATCTATTTTTTATTTTTGTCTAAAGAACAGGGATAATAGCAAAGTATCTGTCTCTAGCAATTTTAATTACAGATATTGCTTTAAGAAAAAGCGAAGTGAAAATAAACGTGTTTTGCAGAAAAGCAGTGTAATGTTCTTTGGATAGTTAATGAACACGAACTTCTTTAAGAAGTAAGGTGAACACGTGGAAATATGAAGCCCTAAGGGACAGTTTCCTCGATGACAGTCTCCTTCGTCTTCACAGCAAAGTTCTGTAATAAATCAAGATACTTTAACTCTTACTGCATTCATTCCATCAGGCATTCTTTATGAACTGATACAGGTTAAAAGCAGATTTTTGTGTATTGATTTTTTTCTCCTAACACTTTGATGAATGTATTACTCCTAAGAGTCACCTTTTCCTTTAGATGGTAAAGGCAGATTTTATTCAGTAGGTAAAGCATCCTACATAAAATGAATTACAGTTTAATTCATGTAAATGTCACTGGGCATGGCAAAGGGAGGCTAAGGGGGAAGGAAGTAAGAATGAACAAAGCTCAAGAAAGTCACGTAAGTGAAAAATTATTATAAAAACACAATGGGAAGTTGATTCATGTGGTGAGGCCATTTTCCTTTGCTAACTGGTACTCATGTAAAGTGGGTGTGGACCCTCTCAGGGACTAGGAGTTAGGAGTCCTACAGTTCAGTGCTGGCTGACAGAAGCAGTGAATTCTTTTGGTAGCACTGTGCTTTGTACACAGGCATCTGGCTGGTTATCCAAGAGACATAGTGTTGAATTGTTAGCAACCATGCTAGAATTTCTTAAAGCCTCTCTGGAGGAGTAGTGTGACTCAATCATTTGTGCTGACTGGAGTGTGTGAGGCCAAGGTTGAAGCTAGTTAAGAATAAGACTTAGAGGAGTTTGAGTTTGATCATGGAAGGGATTCTTTTTCAATCCTTCCTTTCCAGGAATGAAGGGATATTTTTTCCCTTGTACAATGTAAGCCAGTTTTTTTTTTTTTTTTTTTTTTCCATTTTAAAGCACCTGCACCTATTAAGATTTGCTAGTAAAAGATATTTTCTGGATGGTGCAGGTGATTAGGAACTTTTATAAAAACAAAAATCATAGGAAATAGTAATGGCTGGTGAAGATCATCAGCCCAGTTTCTGAATCCAGTCAGGTTGGTCAAAAGATTTCCAAATGGTGGAATAACTAATTGGTAGTGCAATCCAATTCATTTTCTGCTTTACAGTTTGAATAATTTTGATAATGGCATAGGCACCAGTGTCATACCATGGTTAATTCTCAGAGTACAGCATGGAAGATACGGGAGCACAGGCAGACTTCTCCAGTAGTCCATGCTCAGGCTGCAGATCTATGTGCAGAGCTTGCCCAAATATGATCTCTTATGGTGATGAATGTTTTGAAGTTTATACCAGATAGCCATTAATCAGCTCTTCAGTGCTTCTTAAGATCCTGGAGGAATATTCAGCTACAAGGCAACCTAGAGTCCCAGTGAATATTTGGATAGCTGGCTTTAATTCTCAGTAATTCTGTGTCAATATGCTCACCAAAGTAGCAGATATAGCGGCACATGACTGTAATCTCAGCACCTGGGAAGCTGGGGCAGGAGGACTGTGAGCTCAAGGCCAGCTTGGGCTATACAGTGAGCCAGGGTCAGTGGTCACCTGCAGGATCAGTCAGAAGAATTCAGTAGAGTCATCTGCACGCAGTCAAAGGTTTAAGGCCTGGAAGCTCACTATAGAGTCACTGGTGGGCGTCTCCATCAGAAGGCTGAAGAAACTAGAGACCAATGTCCAAAGGTAATGGTAAAGACTGAAGCTCTTCCCAAAGGGGGGCACTTCTTTTTCCTTCTTCCATCCTTGTTTGTTATGTTTAGGCCATAAGCTTGTCAACTGGTGTCACCCACATCCAGGGTGTGCCTTCTCCCTTTGGTTTGCTGGCTTTTGCATGACAGTTATTTGTTCAAAAAACAAGATCAGTTGTGCACATAGTTTATCTCACCTTTACCATTCAAATAGTTTGCTGTAGATTTCTGACAGGTATTCTTGGCCATTCCTAGGTTCCAGGTCTGTGTAAAACAAAAGAATGAGCATTGTGCAGAAGACTGCAGTGACATGGTCCATGTCCACACTTGCTGGGGCTTCATCTGTGAATAAGGATAATTTAGCTTCTTCCTTTCCTATTTGCATCCCTTTTCTTTTTTTCTTTTGTCTGATTGCTCTGGCTACAGGTTTGAGAACTGTGTTGAAAAAGAGTGGTGACAGTGGACACCTTGTCATGTTTCTGATTTAGAGGGAATGCTTTCAGTTTTCCCTCTTATAGTATGATTTTGGCAGTGGGTTTGTCATAAATGGCTTTTATCCGTTTGAGGTGAGGTCCTTTCATACATATAGTCATTAGGGCTTTTATCATGAATGGATATTGAATGGTCAAAGGTTTTTTACCATTACCATTTTTCAAAGAATTAGAAAAAACACTCCCAAAATTTATGAGGAATCAAAAAAAAACCTAGAACATTCAGAGCAATCTTGAGCAACAAGAGCAAAGCAAGATGCATTACAATGTAAGATTTCAAGTTATATTACACAGCTACAGTGATTAAAAACAGCATGGCCCTGGACAAAAACAGATATCGTGATGGATGGGGTAGAGCTGAGGATGCAAAAACCACTGTAGGGAACTCCAGCAATTGATGACAAAGGGGCAAAAACATATACTGGAGAAAAGATGGCCTATTTAACAAACAGTGCTGAGAAAATTGGTTATCTATGTACAGAAGAATGAATCTAGACCCATATCTCTTACCCTATACTAAAACTGAATCAAAATAGACCACAGACTTACATATTAAAATAGAACTATTAAATCTTCAAGGAGATAAAACAGGCGAAACTTTTAAAGACATAGCATAGAACAGAACAGAACCCCAATTGTATAAGAAATAATACCAAATAACAACAAATAGGACTATGTTAAATTAAAAAGCATCTGCAGAGTAAAGAAAACAACCAACAGAGTGAAGAGACAACCTGCAGAATGGAAGAAAAATGGCTTCTCCTCAGAAGGAGAATTAATACTGGTGAAGAACTAAAAAAAAAAATTAGACATTCTGCCAAAAAAGAGCCAATCAAAAATGGATAACTGAAATGGATAGACACTTCTCAGAAAATAAGTAGCCAGTAAGTATATGAAAAAATGTTTAGCATCTTTGACCAGTAAATAAATGAAAATTGTAAAAACCCACCAAGATTGCATCATACTTCAGTAAGAATGTTTATCATCAAAGATTCAAAAATAAATGCTGGCTAGGTAGTGAGCAAAACGGAACCCTTCTAGATTGTTCATAGGAATATCAATTAGTGCAATCATTAGGGAAATCAGTAGGAAGATTCCTCAAAAAAACTGAAAATAGAAGTTCTGTTTGACCCAGCTATTCTGCATCCTGATATTTTTCGAAAAGTTAAAGATATCACATTATAGTAACACATGCATACCCATGTTTATACCAGCACAATTTATAGTACCTAAATATGGAAATGGTCTATAAGTCCATTTATAGATAAATAGATAAAGAAAATGTGGAATGGAATACTATTTAGCCATAAAGATGGACAACTGTGAATTATTTGTAGGAAAATAGATGCATCTTGAGACTGTAAATGGAATAAATCAGACACAGGTTAAATATTGCATGGTTCTTTTATATAAGAAACCCAAAATATAAATAATTTCAGGAGCAAATTAAAGATGATTGGAACTAGGGGGGCTTTGTGGAGAGAGGAAGGGAACCTGGGGATAAAAGGAGAGGGGAGAGTCATAAGGGTAGGGGAGAGTAAAAACGACTAAGACGTGTTAAGTGTATGTATCAGTTCCCCAGGATGAACATCAGTATGTATTGCAAACATCAACCAATAAATACAAGAGATTTTTGATTTTTAGGAATATGATATTATTTTAATCATACAGAAGACTTTTACATGAAAATTTTATGAAGTTGCATTTTGTCATCAAGATTTGTCTTAGCAAAATCACAAAGCAAAGTTGCCCTGTTGTTAGATTTAGCATTTAATGCTGGAGGGGCACTGATAATATAGCTGACACAGAAATACTAAATGTTTTTTGCTCTCATTCTTAAATTTGGTGAGTCACAGAAATTCTGGTTTCTTTTACATTTTATCTAATTTAGATTTCTTTATCTTCAGCTGAATGTAAGATAAATAGGTCTAGATTTTAAATTTGCTTTTAAAAAATCAAAGAAATTATTTGCTGAAAATACTCAGAAATGTACCTTCATTTGGGCATACTTTTATGAATATATGAAATGTTTAAAATTAATCTTCATAATTAAGCATAGGAGAAATAATAACAGCTCATAAAATGAAATTTATTAAATAATATTAGTTGGGACAAAAATAGTATTTCATTAGTTGTAGGATATTTCTTCTTTTCCTTTATTTGGTTTTTTACTGTGAAATGAATTTTCAAGTGATACTGTGAAACCTAAAGAAAAAGCATAATTCAGCCATTGCCTTTATAAATTCAGCTACTGAATGTCTGTGTGCTAGATGGCAGAAGAAAATGAATGGTATCTTTTCATTTTAGGTTTTGTCTGGCTTCTCATAAATTTTTAGCTTTATGAAATGTTACATTTTAATATTTGGCAGCTTTTAGCTCTATTTGTAGGAAATTTAAAAGATATTTTGAAGTGAAATTAGTAATATATTTTCTAAGTTTACTTTTATTTTGAGTAGGGCACACGACAGAATTATCAGGTCAAGTTATAACTCAGGCCAGTTAGGGTTGCCCTTCACATTATGCTCTTTTTAAAGGTGCTGTATTTACTGATAGGTGTTATATAGCTGTGTATTTAGTTTACAGACCCAGATCTATAAAGTAGTATCTACCACGACATGTCTAATCAATCAGCCTTGTCCCTGAGAAACATGTATCTATAAAATTATTTCCTTTAATTTATATATAATTAAAATCAATAAGTAATTTAGGAATGAATCCAGCCACACTTAATAGTGCATTATCAGTTAGGAGTTGCCTAGGAAGTGACTAGAATTTAAATTCTTAGAATGTTATTCCACCCATCGCACTTCAATATTTTAACCCTGATATACATTTTAAGAGGGCTGACATTTTCCCTTATGTTATCTTTACTTTGTGCAATGAATTAGTGATTATAAGTATTCTTTGATAAACACAAATTTATCTCTGTGTTTCTAAATTGTAATACTTTCGTATTTCTTGGATATGGCAAATATATGCTATTATTTTCTTTCACATATAATTTTGAACAACAATAAGAATACTATCAATCAAAACCTGTACCACTCTTCTGTATGTCTTTGAACATCACATACCAATGGTCAAGTGCTTATACTTAAATACAGTAAAGAGTAATTAGGTCAAATTTTGACTTTTCATAGACTGCGCCATCCCAGTTTTTCTGAATAGTGGTAGTATTTGTAGCGCCAGAGATTTGCCTATTTTATGTTAGAATATACTTACTGAATTATCAGGCATATGATATCATAGCATAGAGATGTTGGATTAGTAGTTTATAATCAAAACCTTTGTCCCAGATTTCAAAAAGAACACCTGAGAAAATGGACAAATAAATTTATGCGTCTTTCTGTAGGTTCTTCACTTTTGAAATTGGGATAACTGCCCAATTTCTTCCCACACTTGAAAACTTCAGGTTTTTTATTTTCATAAGAAAAAAGTAATTTTACGGGGTACTATAATATAAATAAAAATAAACATCAGGCTTTTGTTCTACATACACGTATCTCCCGCAATTCTTTAGCCCAGTCATTAAATCAATTACTAAAAATGAAAAAAATTTAAAAGCCACTCTTTATTGCACATTTACAATATATTTGACAATCTTCTAGTTAAATGAATCACTAAATTATATTTTGAACATGCATTGCTCCTTTAGGTTACTAAAAGTCAGTCTTTTTTTATTTCTTCAAGGAAATAAAAGAGAATTTCTACAATTTCTCTTGAAATTGTAAAGGCTAACATGGCTCTCTAAAGTATTGGTGGGGGTGAGTCTCAGAGTTCATTTGTATTTACCATTCTGTTGTTTACAATATAAAACACTGTATTGAAGCTATTGTTAGGTCTGTACAAAAAGGATAGTCAGGTTTTATTGGTAATAGAAGAGGAGATAAATAGAAATAATTGGAAACCAAGTGGAATATACCCTGCTAGATTAGTTCCCAGAGAATATGGTTTATCTTTAATGCATATCATTTGCTAAGAATAAGTAGTAACTGACTAAAGGTCTTATTAATATAGTTACTTTGCACCTAGATTATCATTTGCATTTTAACAATTTTTAAGTGAAGAGAAAAACCTCAGTATATAACCATCAAAATAAGTATAAAAGTGTCATTGTAAAATTAGAGCCCCAAATACTAAATCCAAGAACTATGAAATTAATATTGCATTGTTTCCAAATGCTAGATAGATTAGCTTTTGAATAAAGTTTAGTTTGTCACATGAAAACATTAATAAATAAATCCATTATTTTCACACTTTCTATAAATACCAATGATTTATATAGTCAACATTATAAAAGCACATTTTAAAAATGTTTAAGTAATTGTTATTTACATTTATGATTGTTCAGCTGTTGTAAAGTATGACAATTCCTAAAACGGAAAGAAAAAATAGCAAAGAAAGCAGAAAACAATGAATCCAATGACCCAGTTCACTGAATAAATGTAGATGATCACCATATCCATGTCAAACCACCATCCACGGCTGTCATCCTCAAAGTGCAGATAATCCATCCTATGTGCACCATGTGGGAATTGCCTTCTTGTAACTGGAGCTGCCCGTCTGTGGAAACCTAGAAAATGCACGAGAAAATCATATTGAAGCTCATTAGATTCGGTAAGTGCTCAGAGAAAAAGCTGCATTATGAAACAGTACCATGATTTCATTGAGTGCTATGTTGTGTTCTTGGCAGCTTTTTCCATGATAAAGCATAATCCTTGGTAACATTTCTGAAAAATAATATCTTGTGAAATGCTACTTTCTTTTCTTTACATATTTACAAAAGCTTGAGGAAAAACTTGTCCAATGCCAACTGTCTTGTTGGTTGACCAATCTATAATATTTAAGATATTTGAAAAACAAAATGCAATTTTCTAAGTAGTAAAAACTTGGTTATTAGTCTTTTGTTTTTTTCTGATTATCTGCTGCCTACTTTAAATATTTCTGTGTTTATTAGGGTAAGGCAATGAGGACAGCACTTTAAACTGAACAGAACTTCCAGCTCTGGTGATACATGTGCTGTGAGGCTGTATCTTGAAGCAAATTCTATGTCATCCATTTAAACAACTGAGTAATGCTAAATGTTTGCCCTAGATCAGGCTTCTTATTTGGACAAGGTTGCATTTATCTGTGTATCAGTATGTTCAAGTCAAACCTTTAATCAAGGACAACCCTTTCTGCGCTGTCCAATGTCCACCTTTTCCTCAGTTAACAACCACATACCATATGTCTTGATGTAAGAATGCCAGTGGCAAGTTACAAGGAGCTCTGTGATAACTTCTAATTGCTTTTGTCTGAGTTGCTATCATAGTTAACACATATTTATAGTTCAAAAACCTTAATTAGGATGTGTCAGCACCTTTTCCCTTTTGCTTTCGTTGACATCTTCAAACCAGTTTCTTCACAGTATTCTGCTTAAGTTTTGCTGTGCTGGTAGTTTAGTTAAAACCAGATAATCCATTTCATTGGGTATTTGTAAACTACAATATATTGCAACGTACGGAAAGTAAACCAATGAAGTCAGCCTTTCTGTCAAACTTCCACTTTGAACTTACTGTGGAAGGTTTTTCTATGTTTTATTCCTTCATACTTAGCAGCACAACATTTTTTTTGTACCAGGAATCGAACTCAGGACCCTGCACTTGCCAGGCAGTGCTGTGCTACTAAGCTTTATCCCTGGCCCTCTTCATACTTAGGATAAATTCCATAGAAATATACTGGCTTTTATACACTGATAGACTAATCCCATCAATATTTTACATGGCATTTTAATGTTGAAAAGAAGATGCAGTGGATTGACGACTGGTGGTCAACTTATAACCCCCAGCTGAATACTCAGTTCACTTACTCAAAGTGTGATGCTGGGTGTGGGTGAACTCAAAGAGCAAGAAAGAACTGTAGAGAAAATTTCCAAGTTGCTACCAGGTTTAGCTGATAAAGAACTACTAGCATTGTAGAACTGAAAAGTTACTTCTGTTTCTTCTTAAATTCTATTTTGTAAGAAAGAATTTTATCTTAGAACAATTTTTCTCATACCTTAGAAATCAAGGCTATTATTTATTTCTAAAACATATGGTTCAAATTTATCTTCATAATCAAAGACCATATGCTGAGCTCCATTATTTCAAAGCTTATTTCAGAGACAGACTGTCAACAGTTATGTTGTTTGACTTTGCAATATGAGAAGTTTGGGCTGTGCTTTCAGTGGGTACTCATATTTGTTGGATGGATGGATAAGTGCTTGCATATAAGAATGGACTTTAGAGAATAGAATAATTAGTATTTTTTGGAGAATGTTCTGAATCAAGCCTTTCAAAAGTATTTTCAGAGGAAATGAATATTATCATGAATGTATTTGAAAGATATGTTGTAGTTCTCATGAAACGATTATTCTCTACCACCTAATTCAGAGAGCCCAGAGGCATACCCTTTTACCTATGTATGATAGGATAGAGAAAGGTTAAACAGTGTTTTCCTGCTCTGTGCTCTTCACATTACATAAGACTTTTGTTGTGTCAAAAACTGATTGATATAAGTAGGTCTTAGCAGAGGTGGAGTGATATATTTATAGTCACAAATAGGTATAGAGTTGCTGTGTTAATATACTTGAAAAGTTATTGCAAATAAATTTCAAATGTCATGTTCCTTTTCTATATCTTTAGGCCCTCAAAGTCAAATGTTTTAACTTTGCAAAATTAACCTTTTTAATCAGCTAAAATGTATAGCTGATTATTTATGACACTAGAGTTGAGCTAAATTACAAAATTTTTAAATATTTTGGTTCTATAACCAGGTAAGTTGTATCTTTCTAAGAAAACATATTTTCATTATATATATATGTATATGTGTGTGTGTGTGTATATATATATATGTTGCCATTAACCATTTTTAAACATAATCATTTGATAACATTACATTCACAGAGTTGTGCAACCATCACTACATATTTCCAAAATTTTTTTGATTACCCCAAACAGAGTGATAGCCATTAAACACTAACTCCCATTTTCATCTTTTCTCAGATTCTGGTAATATGTAATCTGTTTCTATGAATTTGCCCATTCTGGATATCTCAAAGTAGGATCATAGAATATTTGTCTTTTGTATCTGCCTTATTTATCTTATTATAATGTTTACAAGTTCTTCCATATTATATATACAACAACTACATTCCTTTTTATGTATTTTATTCCTTGGTATCCATTTGATGTACATATCACAGTTTGTCTATCCATTCCAGTGCCAATGGAGACACGAGTTGCTTCTACCTTTTGGCTACTGTGAACAATGCTTTAATGACACTGGTGTACACATATCTGTTTGAGTTCATGTTTTCAGTTTCTTCAGGTATATAACTAAGAGGAAAACTGTATAGCTGGACACTAATTCCATATTTAGGTTTTTGAGGCAACTTTAAACTGTTCTTGAGGAAACTTCAAACTGTCGGCAACATTTTACATTCTCACCAAGATATACATGTCCTAGTTTCTTGTTGACAACACTTGTTATTTTCCTATTATTATTATTGCCATCTTAATATGTCTGCATATTCTTGTCATTGTTAAATAGTTCAAATATCATCTTAATAGGAAATGTTGTTCAGAAAAGTAAGACCTCACTAATTTAACACAATTAAATTCACGAAAAAATTTTATCTAATTAAAATATAATTTTTGAGAGTTTAAAAATGCACTGTTGGGCTGGAGATGTGGCTCAGTGGTAGAGTTCTTGCCTTGTATGCACAAGGCCCTGGGTTCGATCCTCAGCACCACCAAAACAAAAAAAACCACTATTGCTTCAGCTATATTTTTTCTTTTCAAAGCTCTGCTAGTGCTTCTGACAAAGTCAATGCTTACTTCACAGGAAGTCATGTTATCAAAAAATCAGTTTAAAAGATATATATATATATATATATATATAGAGAGAGAGAGAGAGAGAGAGAGAGAGAGCAGTGTTTTGTATAATCTTTTTTTTAAGTGACTTATTAACTTATCCTTTTGATGTTTGTGAACTCCTAGGAAATACAACATAAGGAATATAGAGTAAACTTAAAAGCATAATTTCCATTTTGGAGTGAACTCAAAGTTTCAAGTAGTTTAAATTCTCCTTTAAATCCTTTTTTGGGATATTTTATGAAAATATCCCAACTGCCTTTTATTTTCCTCAGACTAGAAAAAAGTAACAAAAGATAAAGTAGTCCCCATGACATACATTAATAGTTTCTCTGTTTTTAGGATAAAAACGTATTTAAATGTAGGCTTGCAGAACAGACATTAAATATTTTCAGATTATAAAATGTATAAATTTTATATAATCTGGCATTTAGTCAATCCGTCTCTAAAGTATGTTAGCACATGAGAAATGCAGAATATATATTTTAACTGATAATATAGTAGCAGCACTACTTTACTTACAAAATAGTTTTTTTCACAAAATGAAACCTTGAATTACTACAATAAAACCTAAGGAAAAACATGTATGCAGATTATTTTGCTAATAAAAATGATATCATTGACAGCATAGTTATGAAATTTTTCTGCAACCAACCCTGTATTTTATTTTTTCATTTTGAAGAGAGAAAAAGACAATAAAAAGATACAGAATTTCAAAACAAGATGATAGGAAATTAACAATGGTTATTATATTGCATATTGTTATCTTTAAAGTAGGTGCTCAGATTACCAGATACAAGCATGCAAAATTGATCAAACAATAGAAGCACTAACTGTTCCTTGCCACAAACTAATAAGAATTAGTAGTATAATTACTTCAGTTATCTTGACTATATATACAAATCTTTTTTCTTCTTTCTTTTCTCTTTTCCCCCATCCCAGTTTTTCTTTCTTTTTAAGCAATTTCTTTCCCTTTTACTATATCTATTGTACTTTTTGAATCATAGTCACTCTTTCAGTTTCTTACACTAGGGAGGCAATACAATGTTTAACCTTTATGTTTGAGTGCATGAAATCTTAAACTTAATTTTGGTTAATTATAACATAAAGCCAAGACTGTTGAAGACAAAAAGTTTAAGTTTTAAACTGTGCAGTTGTCTTCAAGTTCCAATAACAAGTTATCTATAAATAATAAAATGTTTACAAACTATCCTATTATTTAAGCAGTTAAAACTTTAAGACTACACTATAAGACTTGTTGAAATTTATGAGTATATAATCTCATTTAATAATAAGACTTGCTGAAATTTTTGAGCAAGTTTATGAGCCTTTAATAATCTTGTTTTAAGCCATAATAAATTACTCCTACTTCACAATATAAAGATGAAAGATGCCACTATAGCTGTGTTGTGGCAAATCAGCTCTCCTAGCTGACCAAAAGAAGGTCTGAAAATTTTGAGTTTAGATCATTAACAAATTTGTCATGTTTATAGAGAGCACCTTTTATGTAGACCAACGTCCCCTACCACTGGGCCACCAACCAGTACAGGTCCCTGGTTGGACAGCAACAGGGCCACACAACAGAAGGTGAGGAGCAAGTGAGGGATTGAAGCTTCATCTGTGTTTATAGCCACTTCCCATCATTCACATTTATCTCTTAAGCACTGCCTCCTGTCAGATC